TATTTTATATTTCTTCAATTTTCTTGTGTTCATAATTAAATACCTTATGTTCATAATATTTGTACAATATGTTCATTCCGTAGGAGGAATTTGAAAAGAAATTGAAGGATCCTTCAAAATCACAAAATCAATTGAAAATAATCAATGAAATTAATATTCATCAGAATTAAAAAAAAAAACCAATGCAAATACATCGAAAAAATCAGAAAATCAATTGAAAATAAATTCATATTAATTACATATTCATAAACCTAACTAATTACATAATAATTACAAACAAAATACAATTACGAATTAAGAAAAATCTAACCTAAATAAACCCAATTATAAATCAACAACACAAAAAGCTAACCTTCATTAACGATCTATGCGAGAATAACTACTAAATCCATACTAGACAACGAAATCAATTGAAAACAAAATTAGAGAAAACAGAGGAGAGAGAAAATCTTGTATGAAAGAGAAAATAGAAAAAAACAAAGGAGAGAGAAAATGTAGATCGAAAGAGAAAACAAAGGGGAGAGAAAATTGGGACTAAAATTATTATAGGAAAAAAAAAAGCTAAGAAAAGGGAAAAAAGGAAACTAAGAAAAGGGAAAGAAGGAATCCCAGGGAAGAACAAATAGGAAATGAGGAAGAAGAAGTTAGTGCTGCGTTTCATTAAGAAATAATTGCGTTTATTAGTGGTGTACCTATTCTAGCTGCACAAACATGCAGCTAAGAATATGCCCTTATTATTTTCTTTACACAGCATAAAAAAACGCACCATTGAGTCTTATTATTATAGTATTTGGGTTTGACCCATTAAAAGACTATAATAGAAAACCTAACCCTAATTCACTTCTCAAATATCACAAAATCTGATCTCACGCAACCATACTCCACCCAAATTACAATCCTATTACTATCTCTTTATACAAAACCGCACCATTGACTCTTATCATAGCATTGGACGCCCAAACTATAAAACAAAACCCTAACTCTAAAATCAGTACTTCAAAAACCATAAATCTCACGCAGCAACTTTCTCTCTTGAAAGCTATTTCTTACTGACTTGCTATCATTCTTCTTTGAAATCTTCTTTTCACCAAATAATTCGATCAATTAAGTAGTTATCTGGTATGTTTTTCTATTAATTCTTCCAAATTTACTTTTTCATTGTTCTCAATTTCGTGCTTTATTGTTAGAATTGTTTGTTTTTAATTATGTTTAGAAATTTTTAATGAGTTTCATTTAATGTTTGTTTAGGGTATATCATTATGGTAAAATTCAAACTTACTTTACCGTAAAAGAAAATAAAATCGGCCAAGCTCCCTGGTAACCGAAGAACTACTTATGCGTAGCTATTTAGCTAGTGAGCTAAGGTGGCCGTTAACACCCTGTAATTTCACTATTCATCATCTTAAAAACCACTTCAAATGCACAAACCTCAAAACTGAACAAGTAATGGGGTCATTTGACCCACTTGCTTTAAAAAAATAAATCTTGTTACAAATATTTAAAAGATAAATAAATAATAATTTATTTATACAATTTGTTATATACACCCGGGTGTACTGTACATCCGGTTTATTTGCTCATTCAATAAACAAATAAGCGAGTAATAAAAAATGTTAGATTCGCCATTGGAACAAGCCTCCGTTAAGACTTGTACTCGATTTCTCTCAAAATTATAATTATAAGGATCACCGTCATCTAAAATCCTTCACTTGACGTGAAATTGAGCACCGATCCTTAACAAATATTACGAGCCAGCTTTTGGGCTCTACACGTAAGTATCGTCTATACGTGTTAACACTCTTTGGGGCGTTGCGGAAGAGAGAGCTTATCAGGTATTTCATGAGTATATCGTATCTCCTAAAAGTTTTTTTTTTTTTAATTTTAAAAATTTATTTAATTTAGTATTTTTTTTTTATATATTTACAGTCAATTTAATATATATATATATATATATTATATCATTGGCTCATTGCAGATGTCTCCTTGAGCTTTTTTTTTTTTGTATTAAAGGAGGAGATCGGAGGCCGAGGAGGAGGCGGAAAAGGAGGACTAACAAAGGTTTAATACAATTTTTATTTAATTAATATAATATTTATTGATACATCTAGTATTAATTTAATTTACTATTTATTTATTTATGTATATATCTTTTTTCTTATTTCAGATTTCAGGCTGTGCTTTTTCAGAAGTCAGAGGTGAATGTAACAATTAACAACAATTGATATTTTTATAAGGGAAAAAGACAAATTATTGTGTAGAAAACTTTTATCTAGAGAAAATCTTAATGAGCCCATTGTACAAGTTGATCAATTTTTGAAACTTGATTAATTGATTAGTGTGCGGTTTTGAACCATCCATGTTTATACTTTTGGTCTGTGTGTTTTGAGATTAAAGTTTTGTCATGAATCTTTAGAATTGTTTTCAATTAAGGGAGTTTCTACTATAGAGCAACTCATGTATGACTCTTTAGGATTGTTTCAACATCTCATGTATGAAGTTCTTTGAAAAAAGTAGTGGATGATTATGTATCTTTTAAATTACAAAAGTCTTCAAAACTCTTTCACTTTCTCCTTTAAATACGCTTTACTATGATGTTTTTTGGGCATTTCTTAATAGTAGTAATAAGAAACGAAAAAACAGAACAAAAGAAAGATAAGGAATCCATAGTATAACAAATTAAGGATACTTACCCAAGTTCAAATTTAAGTCCAAAGTGACTTGAAACTTGAAAGTGTCTCGATTTCTTTATATGGTTATGTTCATTAAGGCTGCTTGCTTTTCTTACTTGCAACATTTAGATAATTAGATTTATGATACTCGATATTTACCACAACTACGAATGTTGTAAATTTTATGGTATAATGTGGGATCTATGAACCATTCTTTCACTAAACTTGTGTAATTATGAATAACCTTTTATTTTCCTAACCTATCTATATAGTTCATATTTTCATTTCACTATCTATACAGTTAATTTGATAATTAAATAATGACATGAGATTGAGCCTTATAACATTTCTATTCCATAATCCTCTCAAGGCATGAGCTACATAAACATTCATGATGATATTGGGGCTAGAGCATAACCACACATGACTTAACTCGATTCACTCTTGACTCATTATCATACATTTAAACCCCTCAACCTCCATGCATTTCTAAAGAAAGAGTGAATGGTAGTGGGTAAGACTATATGATATGATTATATTTTAGATGGATAGCAAAAATCAAAATAGGGTGTTTTGGTGCTAGCAAAATTCAAAATTTCAGAATTTTAATTCAGCAAAATTAAAACAAGAGTAGTACGGAGTAGCTTTTTATCTCTCCCCTTAGAAGGAAACGAGGGAATTTATTCGTGTGGGTGTATTTTTCTTCTTCTTCTTTATTTATTTATTTATTTTTGTGTTAAAGAGCTACGAGACAACGGATGAGAATAGATTCCATGAGCTCTTGGAATATATTCGTGTGATTGATTGATTGATTGAATCAACAAGAGTTGTCTGTTTGGGAATTTCTTTTACTTTGTTTTTTCTTACTCTCAGTGACTACTCTCTGAAACTCATCAGCAGAAGCCATGGATGAACCTGCTCAACCCCAAGAGTATCTCGATGTTCTCACCAAAACTGGCCACAACACCAGAGTTCGCAAACCCAGGTTTATTTTCTCAAATCCTTTTTTTTCCTCAAATTTAATTGATTATTTAATTTCCAATCAGTTGTTTTTAATTCAATAACCCTGAATTCTTATGGTGCTGCATTTGCAATATCACATTATTACTATTGTATTCTTGGCTTTGATTAATATATATATATATATATATTTTTAACTTTTTCCAAATTATTCTATTTAAATTGTTTCAGAATTTGATTTCAGGAAGGTCTTGCAATGAAATATATTGGTGATTTGGTAGTTTTGTAATCAGGAACTATTCGAAGGTTTTGGGTATCACCGCCAAGACTTAACCAACTAAACGAACTTGTAATTAGCATTTATGATCCGCACAATGACACAAACTAATTCACTAACATAGCCTGAATTGTTTAGTTACTTTGGCATTACCGTAAACAATTATACCAGTCTTCTATACAAATTTAAATCACTAGCATTGCCATTGTCTTTTGTTGTGTCCAAACGACCGAGATTACATGTATGTATATGGGTCATTATATACGTTTCTATATTTCGTGCGTGTTGTTAGTTCTAGTAAGTCATACGTTTGTGCTGCATGATTTGTCGTCGTAATGCTGCTTGCTTCTAATGGTTTTGTACTATAATGTGATGACTTGGGTTTTGATCACCTTAGTTTATGTTTTCTGAAGTTTTCTTAACTTAGCTTTTTTTATTGCTTTAAGTCAACTTATTTGCTTAAACTTATATATGTAAGCTGTGGAGAACAGACCTGCCTTAGTGTTGCTTTACTGAGAACAATTGACCCTTATTAATGAACAATGTATTAATCCTTTGGTGGATGTTGCCTCGGTGGTTAATTTCTTATTACTTGTGTAGGGGGGATGTTCATAAAGATGGGGATTATCATCGAGCTGTTCACGTGTGGATTTATTCTGAAAGCACAAATGAGCTGCTGCTTCAGAAACGTGCTGACTGTAAAGATTCATGGCCAGGCCAGTGGGATATCTCCAGCGCAGGTCATATATCTGCTGGTGACTCTTCCCTCATAACAGCAAGGTAAAATATGTCAACTGATCTCTACAAATTCGATAAATAATGATTTCCATTTCCTTGTAAATTTTAGATTCAAAGTGTCAGTCATGTAATTTGACTTTATTGGTATTTTGACTGGCCACTTCTGTTAGTTATCATATCTTATATAAAATTCTAGTTGTAAATGGATAATTTGGTGGCCATCTCATTGCAATTCATGTGTTAACATTTACTCAAAATTCTTGCAGGAGGGAACTTCAGGAAGAGCTAGGTGTCAATCTTCCAGAGGATGCATTTGAATTGTTATTCGTTTTTCTTCAAGAGTGGTTTGTACTCAACCTTGCTTCTAGTCATGTTGATGATGATTGCTTTTGTGTCATTGTGGCTATTCATAGCTACATTAAATGAAACTGATATACTTAAGACATGATGTCTAATGGCAGTTTGCAGTGTCTATAGGGTGATATATGTGGTGGAAAGTTGGTATTCCTTCATTTTTATAGGCTAATGTTCTACACATTCGAGAAATGGTTTATGAAGTTTTGAATGTTTGAGTAAATATATTTGATTGGGTTAGCCGTTTACGTTTGGATGAGTTATCATAAAATTAGCTGGAGCTGCCTAGGAGGTAAATTTATCTTATTCAGATCTATTTATTATTTAAAATAAAACTGCTAAAGTTTACCAAACATATTTGTCCATAGTAAGCATATATATTGAACCTTTTAATCTATGTTAATAGGACACGGCTAAAATCACGAAGTGTCTGACACGACACGACACGACATGTAGGGCTGGCAAAAACTGACCCGATCCGAACCCGATCTGAAAAAAGCGGGTTAGGGTTGAGATTTCTGACCCGAAAACTTAAATGGGTTGACACGAACCTGAACCCGAAATTAAATGGGTTAGGTTAAGGTTGAAAATCTCAACCCGAAAACGACCCACTTAACCCGAAATAAATTTCAGGTCATAATCAGGTCGGGTCAACCCGAACCCGACCTGATAACCCGAATTAGTTTAAGTTTTAAAAAAAAAACGTAAAAAGCTTTTATTAGCCCAGCCCAAATGCACAAAGAGGCTTCCTATATAAATTCAAAACCCTAAAATAATCTCATTTCCCCTCACCTCTTCAGCCGTTTTTCCCCTCACTTCTCTCTCTTTAATTTTCTCTCTCCTCAAAAACTCATTATATTGTTAAATTTTCTCTTTAATTTCCTTCGGCCATTTACCATTGTCAATTTGTCATCTCCTTCACGGCTTGACTCCTTCACTCCTCCACAAGACGCGTTCCTTAATTCTTCTCCTTCATCAATCAAGGTATCTTGCTTCTTAATTTATTTTCTGTTTCTTTTTTCGTGTTTTTACATGCTATTTTTGTTTATTTTCGTATTCTTTTGTTGTTAATTTTATAATTACCTGCTTTCGTTTATTTTGTTTTTTTACATGCTAATTTTCGAGTGTTATTACTAATTTATGATGTTAAATGTTGTTGTTTATGTTATAATACGGTTGTTTTTGCTAATTTTCGAATGTAATGCTAATTTTTATTGTTAAATGTTGTTTATGTAATGGTGATTCTTATTATTTTTTGTTTTTCATGAGAATGCATGTTTTAATTTAGATCTTACTAGTTAGATCTAGACAATCTAGTCTGATTTAGATTATTATCATGTTTTAATTATATTAGTGTTGTTTTTCTTTATAGGTTTGGCAGCAAGAAGTAATCACCCATGTTCAATTGGAAATGTTGTAGATCAATTTTAAAGCTTGAGGTGGTGAACAAGGATGACAACCATGATAGATTGACAGTCTCAACATCGCCCGATCTTAATCCAAATGAAAATCTTATTGCATCTTCTATTATTTTTGAGAACTGTAATTTGTGTTAAAAAAACTTTTGTCTTTTGAAACTTGGTTTGTAATTAGTGAATTGTACTTTTTATCGGTTTATAATCGTTAATTAGGATTGTTACTTTGTTAGACTATGCCATTTAATTTTGGTTTGAATTAAAACGCTTAACCTCTGAACAACTTGTGTTTGAAATGAAAAAAAAGTTAATTCAGGTCAATTTTGGGTTAACCCGAACCTGAATATATCAGGTTTGGGTCGGGTCAAGTTCAGGTCAAAGAAACCTGATTTTAATCCAAATAAAAAATCAGGTCAAGTAAGGTCAATTTCGGGTTGACCCGAACCTGAAAATATCAGGTTCAGGTTGGGGTTTTCAACCCGAAAAGTTAAATGGATCAGGTTCGGGTTGGGGGGTAGCTGACCCGAAATTAGGTGACCCGAACACGAACCCGACCCGACCTGATCTGTTTGCCAGCCCTAACGACATGGACACGGACACGGGACACGTGTGCACTCGGACACTTCCATTAAGAGTAGAGAGGAAAAAAGAGGAGAAACATGAAAGAAAAACACATCTTGTTCGAAGACCACCATTGATATAGAGAAGATGGAGAGAAGAAGATTGTCATTTATCAGGAGAATTTGCTTTGGAAAGAATTAAAATAAAAAAATAGGGGTGAACGTAATGAAAAATTTAAAGCTTTGGTAATATATAATTTATTTATATAAATTTAAGTGACGTATAGACGTTCCCCGTACCCGTGTCCAAATGTCGAACAAAGTCCCCGTTCCTAAAATTTCGGAACTTGCCGGATCGGACACTTGGACATGTGTCCGTGTCCAACACCCGTTTCCGAGTCCATGTAACATAGCTCTTAATAGTGAGAACTATTTCACAACCATTGTATGTTGCAAAATCCACTGGTTCACATATATGTAATAGTAATTGCATGTGTCTTTACTCTACAAGTTGCATTCTTTTCCCCTTAAACTTATCTTTCTCTCTTCTATATGATTTAATTAACTAATACAACCTCGATCCTTGAATTTTCATCTTCTCACAGTTTTAGTGAACTTTTTTGTAATTATTAATGCCAATAGACTAATAGTTCTATTACGGCCTAAAGGTTTGTAACTTCAAACTTTAGGGTTTGTTACTTAACACCAAAAGTTTTGATACTATAAATAAGTGAATGTCCAATTTTTAAGGAATAGGCTCATTAATTATATTTGTGATACAACCCCCTAAACTTCTTAACTATGATTTGTGTTGAGTATAGATTCCTTAATGAACCTCTTTCATAGCATTAAGTATTTTGGCGGCGTTACATAAATGATGCATATTTGAAAGATACATTGAAGAGCCATTTAAATTATACCTTTTGTTAATATAATTTATCTTTTTGGTGTTTCTTATAGATAATATTAAGTTGTTATTCCCTCCGTTTCATAATACTTGGGACGTTGGGGTGAACAAGTAGTTTAAGAAAACTACAAGTGACTCCATTTAAAACATTTGTTTATTATATAATAGATTTCCCTTTTGTATTTTTATATTGTAAGAAAACAAAAAGTGGGAAGGTGGGGGTAGTGAGGAGAGAAAAATTTTAGGATTAAATTGAGTTTTGGGGTTTGTGGTCCCAAAGAGAGTATAGAAAAATATTATTTTATTAGTGGTCCCATTCCATATTTAGTAACGTGTCAAATATTTTGAAACGGACGAAACCACGAATCGTGTCAAGTATTATGAGACGGAGGGAGTATTTATCTTTAATTTTGATAGATAGAGATTAGTTTATCCTTTGTTTTCCGAATGTTTTATAGTTTATTTTGCCTATATAAAGGGCTTGAGGTTGTAACATTTTCGGTAGAAAGTTGAGTTTTGATTATTATATGAAAAACGTGAGCTTAGCTTGTGTTTATGGTTTGTTAAACCTTGTCGTTGTGCTAAACTTTGATTCTTAAACCAAGCCTTCAAGTATTGCCTCTCAACTGAGCCTTGGGAGTTCTATCCTTGTTTCATTAAAATTCATTAACTCATTTTTCCTCGAGAAAAACGAATACATAAAACCATAATCGTATAATAAACATATCAAAATCCAAGAAAGGTTTAAAGATCAAGTATTTTATTCAAGAGACTCAAAATAGTTGCATAAAAACGCATCAATAAACTTAGGTCCATCGGTGATCAACACAAAGAATTAAGCTTACTAATGAAACTCTATAATAGTATGGATAAAATGCATTCAAATTCACCGTTGAACCTCCTTTTTTCCATTGAAGGGATTAACACGTAGGTTCACTACTGAAGTTTTTCTCTTTAGCGCATACATATAAACATTAGGTTCATTGATGAACCTCTTTGATGAGAGAAAATCAAAGATCATCAATCGTGTTGGGTATAGAGAAAATTAAGGGTTTTCAATGGCATTGTTGAAAAGAAGGAGAAGGAGATACAATTATTAGTGTAGTAGTGTGATCGCTGGCAGTGATGGATGGTCAAGATTAATTTAAATCAAGGATATTTTGACAATTACCACCTACAATTGTTGCTATTCTGTCATTAATCTGTTATTCTGTAATTTGCTCACTTGCTTGTATAAATAGGGAGGGGGAGGGGGGGGGGGGGCTGTCTCAGAAGATTAGGCTTATGTAGGATGTATTATAGAGAGAAGCCTTTCTATGGCCGTATTTCTCCTCAATAACAGGAATATAGGATTTTTGATCAAGGATGCTTTGAAAATCTTCTCCGAATTGGTTGTTACATGCACGATGCACCATCCATCTTTGCAGCTTTTCGAGTGTTTCTGTTGTTATGTTAAGGACTGAATTAGTAAACTTAGTTTTAGTTTGATTAAATTGTTATTCCCCTTGATGGTGTCTTTATGTTCTGGATCCATTGTATTCCCTTTCTTGCTGTAGTTCTATCCTCCTCTTTTGTTTTAACAGAAGAGAATTGTCGAGCAGTTTGATCCTATACATGATGTGTTGATTTGCTCAATTTTTCACATCTGAAGGCTATTGGTTTATTTATTTGTTTACCAAGTTTGCTCTTTTAATGCAGCATCATTAATGATGGAAATTATATCAATAATGAGTATAATGATGTTTATTTGGTGACCACCATAGCTCCTATCCCTTTGGAGGCATTTTCTCTTCAGGTAAAGTTTGCACTAGGCATTCATAATGTGTCACCTTGCTTAAATATGACATTTTTGTTTGGAAGTTGTAAATTTAATGTGTCATCTTGCTTAAAACCTTTATGTTTTTTAGTCACACGTTTTTACCATTTCTGTAAAACTTTCTTAAATTTTATTCTTGGTTCTCTTTTAAAATTCTCTTAATTTTTACTTGGATGTTCTTTATTTTTCTCACTTACACCTTTTTTTCAAACTCTTTTAACTGATTATCTTGTTAAATTCCTTTTTCTATATTGGTTAGTTCCTTATGATGATTCATGTTAGCCAACCCCAAATCATTTTAGGACTGAGGCTTTTTTGTATGCTGTAAAAGTATTATTCCTTTTCTCTTGAGCTGACCTTTTCAAATAATAGTCAATGTTCTTGAATTTTGACCAATAATAATATGAAGCTATCTTTACATTAAATGTGCAACGATATTCGTTTAATCTGTCTTTATAAGAAATTATTGGACATCTTTTATTTTGTTCCTTTTTTTTTTTATTCTACGAATGGTCAAAAATCAATTACAAAGATCACAAAGTCGATATTAGAACACCATTCTATGATGAAGGGAGTATTTAGTGGGACTATATATTACTTTACTCGATCGTTTTTTGTGTTCAACTTATTTACCATAGACTTTTGTTTCTAGGAAAGTTTGAATAAGGTGAGTAGATACTAGGAAAAGGTGAATAAAGTAAAAGAAATGGAGTGAAAAGATAGGCGTGTTTAAGAAAAAGCAGATGAAGTAAGAAAGAGAGTGGAAATGTGTAAATTTTATGGAGTTAAGGAGGGTAAGATGGTAAAAAATAAAACAAAGTGGAAATGGGTAAAAAAAATCCTCAAAATAGAAAGCAGGTAGAACAAAAAAAATGTATTCACCTTGTTCCATTTTCTTGGATAATTTCTCACTCAGGAATTCAGGATGGATATGGTTTGGTGAGGTTCACCTTGTTCCTGAATGATATTTGTAATTATCAATTTTTCTCTGTATAAATTATAGAAATATGTATTCTATAGCACAACTTGATAGAATTTTCTGTGTTCATATTTGATATTTTTGTTGTGTCAAACTTTGAGATACCATGGTGAGGCCTAAGGATGACCAACTATTTTTTTTTTTTTGATGCAGCTTGATGGGATTAGTGACTCTGATAAAGAAGCTCTTGTGTTGGTTCTTAAAGCTGCGATGATAATGGATGATATATTTCACCAGCAGGTTCAATTTTTTTAAACATATGCTTGTACAAGCTTCTTAGATAATTTTGTTTCTGTGGAATGCTGGTTTTTCTGGTGACCTTTTAAATCATATATTCCTCAAATATACTTTTCTTGGTTTGTTTGGAAGTGGCTGTGAAGTATTCTACTAATTCAAATGTTTGCAAGAGTGTGAGATACGGAGAGAAATGAAGTTTTTGCGTGTTTATTAATCCTTGTTTTACTAATTTCAGTAATTGTGTGGGCTGTGGGGGGAATTGAAGGATTTCCTTTCTTGTCTTGAATTTTTCATTGCCATATACCGGCAAAGGCTAAAATATAAAATAGTAGGGCAATCTAATTCTTAACATCTTGTGAAATTTTGACAGTGACATATCATCAACTAGTGACTGTTATTTGTAGTATTTGCTTAAGGTAAGGTTATCTTGTGAGCTATTTAATACCATAACAGTGCCTTGTGAATATTCTAAGAAGGAAAATTGAGGTTCTCCTGTTGCTGGTTATGCACTTTAAGGTCAAAGTTAGTTTACAATAAGTGTTAGTTTTGAAAATGATGAAACCTTTCTGCCACAACATTTCTTTGTTTCTAATGGCTTACCTTATTTCATTCCAAAGAAATAATATTAAGAGAGAGAAATTATATTTGTAAAACTAAAAATTATGACCCAAAAAGCAGTTTAATTATTTCGGCTGATTTGAATATGAATCCCATCAATCTGAATCTGATCCAA